TATATATATATAATTTTATGTAGCTCTTTCTGTATTTCTCTGTGAGCTACGTACCTTACGGGAACTACCAGCTTACATACGCCGTCTTGCATCAGATAACCTTATTGACAGTTTTTGATAAAGTGCATAAGTAATCTCCTCAGCAGTACAATTTTTTTTCTCTCGTAGCTATCACCAACAATGAATAAAGTACCCTGAATTTTGAATTCTCCTGGTATATTTCACTCTTACTCGGTCAAATCAATTACATCCTAGTTTAATTTTTTACTGTTTTCATAACAATAGATTATAGACCTCGTATGTATCGTTCCCAACCGTTTGTATCTCAATGATATTCTGACCTCGTAACAAAGTTGAGTATGTTGTTATCATCTTCTACAGCGCTGTTGTTTGTGGGGACAAGTTCGTAACGTCTTATAGCATATACCCCTGCTTGCCTTTGCTGAGTGGGATTATACTCTATCCTCTGCAGGTGACTTCACCCTATGCCAGACACTCGCGCCAGACGAGTTACAACCCCTATTTGACGACGCATGGACTGGCTCACACGTATGGCCTGCCAGCCATTTGCTGTCGCGCGTGCTCGTACGAGTCTATTCCTCATGCTCGACCGGACTTCCAGCGGCATCTGGCATACCTACTCGTGAGGATAAGCCACCCTCGAATGCCGAAGCAGCACCTGCTGTCGACCCATACTCGGATGGTTTACAACTAATAGCGCAGGAAGTTCGGTCGTTAACAGACACATATAGTGATGAGCGGTCGCGTGTTTTGGAGCTGGGTAGCGGTACAGGACTTTGCGGCCTCGTGTGCGCAGCTCTAGGCATGGATGTGGTTCTGAGCGATCAGGCGATGTTCTTAGACTTGCTCACGCAGAACGTGGAGCTCAATATTCACCTGCTGAAGGGGAATGTGCAAGTATGTACATTGGATTGGTCGAATAAGGCACATTTCGAGGCCTTGTGTGGTCCATGCCTGCAGGACAGAACAGATAAGGCCCAGACACGCTTTGACGTGGTCGTGGTATCTGACTGTCTCAACCCAGGTGTGTGGTTGTATCAGGTGCTGCGAATTGCTAACTTTCTATCGATTGTTATACATCTCTTTATATACCCTTCACTTACCGACACATAAGTTTCTACTTCCCAAGGTTGTACACTTACGTTCTGAGGGCAGATGCACATGCATGCGCCGTGGCGTACGGCAACGACTTTGAAGCGTTCTATGTATATTTTGCATCCGCTTTCTCTCAGTCTTTGCAGGTAAAAACTACATAGTGTTTGTAAATGTATCTGCAAGGCTTGCATGCTCAATTCTCGAATGTATTGCTGCCAGCTTTCCGCCCGATGAAGGGTTCGAATTTGTACCTTACCCGCATCATACATTGTAAACCGCCTACAATTTCCTATCATATGGATCGAAATCTGTATTCATGGAGTCTCAGTCGGCACTCACAACATAAGTGCATACCTGATTTGCAAGTAATCAGACGCCTGCATACGCCTTTGTCTTACAATGTTTGTTTCCTGGCTGCTCCCTAGTGTATGGAATGGAATCGATCCCATTGCTGGCGAAGGCCATTCTCCGGGTGGTGCACGCCGAATCGCGCGTTTACTTGGCGTACGAAGAGCGTGGAAGAGGAGACGTTCTGCAAATGTTTATAGATGCCTGCGACGACAAGCTGTGTTGCACTACCATAGCCACTGAAGGTCCCCGGAGTGTGTTCTATTTATCGGTAAAGAATAAAGGAGTATAATGAGAAAAGAACCCCGAATGAAGAGACCCCGCCCCTCTCTCCCCCCGTCGCCTGCGTGTTGGGTAATTTGTTTAGAATCCGTTGATGGGAAGGTGGTACTTGGAGCGAACTATACAGAGGAAAGTGGGCTACTCTGCCTGTGATACGCATACACATTATTTGCCCAAGACTCCAGGCTTACCTTATCTTTTCAATCACGGCGTTCAACTGTGCTTACCTGTCACGTGTGGTGACCTGGAGAGACGATTACATACATGTTCTTGAGTCGAATGAGCACACGGCGTATGGCTTAACATATCCCTTTATCATGACGGGGTAGGTAATGTTATTATGTTCCGAATAGCTGAGTTAGATGATTTGTTCATGTTCTAAAATAGATGAGTCTGCTGGCATGCTCATGTTTAACTAGCGGAAATCCCTGGCATGTTCAATGTTTATTAGCCGAGATAGATGTTCGTGTTCAAATTAAATGAGTTATGTTATTTAAATGAGTTGAGTTAGCTGTAATGTTCATATGCCCTATTAGGCCGAGCATGTTAGTGTGTTCCAATTAACTGGATCAGCTCTACCTCTACGTATATACGGGGAGATTAACCGCTGCATCCGTTTGTGCTACTATAGATAGAAAAAATGAAATATATATATATATATATGTATGTATATATATAAGCCATAGTGAAGAGAATGTCGCTGGCAATTATGCCTCATGCCGTGTCCATTAAAAGATAATCGCACCTACACAGAGAATGGCCCGTATGTTATTTATTCTTAGTTTAGCAGTTAGCTTACAATTACATTTACTTCAACATCTTCTGGAAAGAACCGCTCCTGACGGCAGCCTGGAGGTCGTCGTTTCCACCGATGTGTGTGCTCTTAACGAACACATTGGGAACAGTACGCTGTCCTGAGATCTCCTGAAGAGCAGCTTGCAGGGCACCGCCGTCATCATCCTACACGGGGGAAAGGAAACGTGTCAGATATTGTTATAAAGGTCATATGTTAACGTTGATACAAATGACGTGCAGGAGTTAATAAATGAATGAACCACATGGGACTGATATTATCGGGAGTGTGATTGCAAACACTTGCTGGCGCCCCGTTTCTAGTATATGGTACCACCATTCCAACCTATTCGATGGACATCAACACAATCACACAGATCAAAGAGCTGTGGATATAGTATAGTGCACCTCACTGTCATGAATATTAGAAACCAAGAAAGAAGAATAACCCTTTACTATAACATAAAGCGATCAGATCCAGAGCCCAAGTACAATACTCTACCATTCCATCCTAAAACCCGAGCAACATCGAGGCTTGGTGTAACACGATGCGACAGCGCAGAAAGGTAGAGCACTACCATTGGCGTACACCCATAGACGGGGATGGGATGAACATGCATACATATTTGCTATCGCGGTGGCAAGCAAAGACTGCAACATTGCCCAAGTTTGAATGAATTTCGAAACTCCGGGAAAGGAACCCGCTGCGGGCCCCACACGCAACCACATGATATATTCAATATATGCACTGCTCTGGCAATTAATCTGAAATATATTCAATATATGGATATACATCCATACAAATATAGATGTACACACATAAATATAAAAATATGATATGTATATATTTATAAATTCAATATATATATGTACATATATATTAACTCAGGTTACAAAGACGAAAGGTGCGATCGATTAACATAATCAATATTTTTATCTAAATAGATACATAAACAGCTATCCAAAACCTGTTAAAAAGGTAGAAGTACAGATGTGAAGTATACATCTCGTTTATACGTACAATGTCTATATATATATAAAAAGTATAGTATATATGTACAAATAAGGGGCATTCATGAATGTATATAGATAGGAAATATTGACGTATAAAATATGCAATATATACACCTATGTATATATATATAGATATTGAATATATAAATATATTCTCGGAATGTACTATATATATTTAAATATTGATGAAATCTATGTCGATAGATATACATACAAACCTTTATACATGTATATGTATGTATGTACATATAT